TCAAACGCAACTTTTCTAAAATTCATACCGTTTATATGGATAAATTATATGCTTATTTGAAATCTAAGAAGTTGATATAAAATTTCTGGATATACTGTTTATTAAAATTTTTTCTGTTTACAGACAAGTGATGCTAATCATATTGAGTCGAGGCCTGAATCCAATATATTCTTTATAAAACATATTTTCAATAATAAATTTATCTTTGGCTTTGGTAACGACTGTCTGGAATCTTCAGAAGAATGATTCTTCTGTATTTGTTAATCATTTTTATCAACTACTTTTTTCGTTTTTTTAATTAGCATGACAAATCTGCAACGGACATCTGTACCATCTGATGGGGTTGAGCACTATAACACGTGTGTCCAATCATCGAGGATGAGCTTGCCCTTGCTCTTAGCCAGAGGGGTATTAATTGGCCTTGTGAACTTCATATCCTTCTTAAGGATAGTGACACCTACAAAGCATTCAAAAAATTGATTTATAAGTATCACATACGCTCCGTCATTCATTAAGTTGGTCAAGTCTGTCATCGGGCACTATCTTCATTTCCTCCCTGCACATTATTGTATATATCATTACTCGTTCTGTTGCAATATATATCTGTGTAATTTTTATTATTACTATTAGTATTGTCTATTTTATACTACTGTACATGTTATTCTACTCTCAAGCTATGTATCATATCGATTGATTTGTATCGATCATCTCACCATCTGTCCATACCTTCATCTGTTTTCTCTATTGTCATACTGTTTATACGTTATCTCTCTGTTATTATGTATGTATTTACCTGTGCTTTGATATATCTCTGTATTTAATCCGATTATGCTCTGGCGGTATCGGGTATAAATAAGGATAAAGTAAAAAAAAATTAGCATGACAATATGTTTGTCTAATTTTTATCACTTACTCCTCGTATTATTATTGAAAATTTTAGTATTGATTCTGCTAGTTATTTTTCCCTATTCACAATAATTTTTGCATTTATATTATTAAATTCCTGAGAATTTTAAAAACTTTTCAATAGAATTTAATCTCTTTTTTTTTTGGAAATTTTTCCTCATTTGTATTTTCTGTTTGATAGTTGTATCATCTACAATTTGTTAAATATTAGTGTTACTTGTATCTGTTTTATCACTCTGATTTTATTTTCAGCCAGTATTTCTTTTTTATTTTTAAAAATTATCATTCTGAATAAAGGTCTTTTAAGTACAGTTAACATTCGTTTGCATAATTCACTAACGATTTTTTTTAATATATACTGTTAAACGTCATGTGATGACTCTTTTTTCAATTTCTAAATCTTTTTAGTAATTTTCTTAATGTTTTAATCTGTCCTGTTGTTTATATTTTAGCTATTATTTCTTGCTATTTTCTTTGGTACAGTAGGATAAACCTACACCTTCCTCAATTATTTATTTAGTCATTACTTATCATTACATGCTATTGTTTCCTTTACTGATTTTATAACAACATTCTTGCCGATCCTTTCATTGTGGAAATATTTGATCTGGCCTCACATTTAGAGGCCCAAAGATATTTGTTAAAAATTATTCTTTTCATTGTGTGCATGTTTTTTTATTTTGTGTGATTCAAGAGAAAAAAACGTTTATTTTTGTCAAATTTTTTTTATTTATAAAATAACCGCACTTAAAAATTGTATTGTTTGATTGTTATTATATTGGAAACCTCAAAAAGTAAGTGACCTGACCTCTCTTGACCTCTGAGAGGCCCTGTATCTTTCAGTCAATTCCAAAGCTTTTCTGTGATAATAGTTTCCTTTGGTTATTATTAGCGCTATTTTTTAAATCTTTCTTATATAATATATGAGTAATTTCCACTATTTTATCCATGTTTAGTTTTCTTTTTGCCTTTATTTTAATTCTCATAAGAGATAAGAAATTTACAATCTACGAAATGTGTTGCAAATTTTCTAGAAGATATAGCTTAATTTTAATTTATGGTTGATTATTATATAGATTATCGTGTTTTTTATTTGCCAATCAAATGATATTCATGCCCTTTTGCTCTATGATTTATTCCATATTTTGCATTCTAGTTAGTAATTATACTAGAAAATTATTTTCTTTATACTTTTGTAAAAGTAATATTTCGTTTATAGAAAACTAGAATTTGATTTTTTTGTTAAATATAGTATTGATTAAAAAATTTTAATAATTTATATAACTTTTTACTAAGATATTTAATTGAAATACTAATTATAATAAATTCAATTTAATCTTTCTTCGACTGTTAAGACTTTCTTTTACCTTGCGAGCAAAATAGGCCTTTTTCCATGTGAATCATGAGCGTCAAGACCGAATCCATGATGCAAATGTGTCTGCTCATCCTTATGGGTTGGGTGATATTAGATGGGGTCTAGCTTATCACTGTTAAGGAATATCAGCGGAAATTTTTGAAGATTTAGTCTGAATGTGAACTCGATCTACTAGAGCGGCAGACTAATGACTCTCTCTTCAGTCATTGTCAATTTAATTTAATTTGTTACATTAAACTTGATCTCAATTAATGATCTCATAATAAAGTCCAATAATAAACAACATTTTTACTTACCTTCACTCTTAGAAATACCAGTCTGTTTTTCAAAATTTTCAACTTTTCGCCCTGCGAAAACTAAATGCCTTTTTTTCAATGCACATCATGGATACGGCCGAACTCACAATGAGGGAGGTCGAGCTTTCCAAATAAGTCTTCTTCGTTACATATGTTGATTAAATGCTAAAGAAGTTCAGTTGGGGTCACCAGTGGCCAAGCAGTTCCGTTTCCTGAACACTAGGAGTTCGGTTGTGGGTTCGTGCTTCGCCCGGACGGGCTGACCATGTGAAGTTTTCCGGGTTTTCTCCGACGTCTGTAACGCCTGAATATGGGCAGTTACTTTTAAAAGACCTCCCGGAAGATGATGATGGCACTGCAGTCTCATAACCGCAATTTTGGACATGAAACATTTTACAGTTTCATACCATTATCAAATTAATGAATAATTTCCTTTTGATTTGTTTGATATAGCATATGATCAATAATACCTGCTCAGGTATTACTTACAAATAATTTTTTAAACTGACATAGCTTTTTTCTCATCCTTCATCCTTGATGGTGTGTTTGTTTTCAGTGACGTGCCTATAATTTTACAGCCATGGCGTTAATCATCACAATCATAATACTTTTCGCCCGTAAAATATTATTATTTTGAGATTCGTAGCTATTCTTTGAAAATTAATATTCATATATCTTTAAACCTAAGAATATTTCAATTATTTCTATTTCATTACAAACGAATTTCTTATGCCAAATTTCCATTTTTCTATTGCAACTATTTTCAAGAAATCCTAAAAATAAACTAAGACAACAAATTTAGCATTTAGTATTTTTTACTTCCAAGTTTAAGTAATACTTTTTATACGACAGACTACTTTATATTTTATTGCTTTTCACATTGTATTTGAAATATAAAATGGACATTAATTTACTAATTTTCAATATGCATTAATAGCATATTGAAACATTCTAGGTCCGAATTCCACGATGTGAGAGACCCAGAACCGAATCGAATCGATATTATAAATCTGATTGACTTTCATAATGCTAAGTTTAGATCAGTGTCACTCATTTCCTCATTCATGCTATTATAGACACTTTATTATAGGTTATACCACGCCCACAGTGAGCGAAAATTAAGACCAATTTTATAGTGTATAAGGTATTAATGACTTAAAAAAATGAGGAATTAAAAAATAATCACAATCGCATAAGGCTTATAGCCAGTATTTTGATTAATAATTTGGATTAATGGATAAATAATATAAATATACATCCTACGACTACCAACTTAAAAGTGATAAGTGTAATCGGAAAAAATAAACTGTCTAAAATAAATATTACACGGTCATTTAAAATTAATCGTTCCTAGTCAGTAGGTCAGCAATCTATAGAAAAAGGGCCGGGTGTAAATAATTTTTCTGGCCCCAAATTATGTTTAATGATAAAAAAGATTAACATATTTTTCATCAAAAAATAGCAAGTAAAATAAAATAAAAAATAAACAAATTGTATTCCGGGGGACCCGTTATTTTTGTAAAATTTATATTCAATACTACCAATATCGTATAAATTTATTCTAGAAAATAAATATTTCATCATTTAAACTGTTCCTTAAGACGACATCCTCACACAATTCGACCGAATTTGACGATAGTAGGAATCCTCTTCCTCCTATATAAAATAATAGCATTTCATATGAAATTATTTTGTTATATTAATAATAAGGTTATGTGATTTATAAAAAAAAAGTAATCTTTTAATCATGTGAGGAGGAATGGTGTGCTACGTTTCAAAACTCTGACTCAATATCAAAATTTTCTATTGTTACTGTTGTCTCTTTAATAACATTTTCGAATTCCTCCTTCGAATGTTATTTAAAATATTTTCGACTTTTATTTCAAAATGTACTGTAATTATATTTTACATAAACTTCCTTGCTAAATTAACTCGATTACAAATATTATGCCAAAGTATCGTGCAACATGCAAATAAAACATTATTTATATTTTTAGCCAGTGATTCGGCTTTGTGCCAAGAAAAACCCCAAATGTTTAGGTTTTGATTATTTCCAATAAATTTTAATTACTGTGTTTAAATCACGTACAGTATACGAAATCTAAATTATTTATTAATCAATAAAATAAATGTATTTGCATATATCNCAGCATTTATTATAATTAATTTAGAAAAATTAAAAAAATTAATTTAAAAATTAAATTAAAAGCTTTAATTGAACTTTTTTAAAAGATGTGCTTTAATAAAAGGTTCACTTTATATAATTTCTCTATTCTTTCAGTTACTGCTTTAGTTAATGCATATACTGTAGCATAATTTCAAACACAATCACTAGATATTGCATCATAATTGCAATCAGACGTCATACTACTCTAAACTTATTTAACTATATCCTGACGTCTTATGATTTATTATCTATATAGTTTTTTTTTTAATCATTACATTCTTAGAATGTAGAACAGGAGGTTATATAGATAAATCAGTTCCCACAAGTTTAAATATTTTGTATAATTTGACAATAATTATTCCGTAACAAATAAGAAAAAATAATATATATATATATATATATGTATATATATAAAGAAACAATGTATATAATTTCATTATTCACTTCCATCACCAGTTCTTAAACGTCTCTGTTTGATAATATCGGGTGAAACAGTTCTTAAATCGTATGCCAAACCTAACCAGTTCATACAGTCAATAAACACTGTAGTGAAATTAATTTTCGATCCTAATTCGCTTGTAGAATAATCCCATGGGAAAGTATGATGATAATTATGAAAACCCTCACCTAATGCCCATAAGGTGACTATTTTATTTTGTCTAGGATTAATTGATTTATCGTAAGGACGATTTCCCCACATGTGTGCTGCGCTATTCACCAACCATGTAGCATTCAGGGAAACGCAATACCTTAATAAAGTAGCCACAAAATATGAATTCCAATAAGTTTCACCCCAACACCATACGGGTAACAATGTTGGTATAACGAAACACAACATAACTACTAGACGGGTATAATGCCTGAAAAAATAAATATAACAATAAATTAAATTATGTGAAATATTATTTATATAGAAATTAATGCTTTGTTTAAAAGTAAAATCTGTTAAACCAGAATACTATCTAAAAATTAAATAGTGAAATAAGAAATAGTTTAAAATAAATAACATTTATTACTATTAAAAAATAACTATAAAATATATAAATAAATTTATCTATATTGTAATATAAGTAAGAATAGTCTACATATAACAAGCAATTATTTATTGTGACATCGTCACAATGCCGGGCTGCAATTTTTAATCATATTTTAAATTTATTTAATTTAAAATATATGTTCTCTACCTTAAATTAGTACAGTACTGTATTATCTTGTCCCTGTATATCATACTTTTCCGTTAACAATGGAGTCGTGCCGATCATCTATCTAACTCCTTTCAGGGAAAATTTTGAATTGAAATAACATAACGTCCGGTTGGCAACGGAAGTTCATATATAGTTAAACGGGACATTCTGCTCCTAAGTTTTCTATATCTGGTATTGACGTTCATATATCTAACTTCGTTCTCGAGATTAAGGAAAGACAGGCGAACGGACGGTGGACAGACGGAGGACAGTGAAAATTTATAGGTCTACAATTATTTCAAATTGCAGCCCAATTAAAAATTAAATAAATGACCGTATGTTACTCTTCTAATCGAGATAAATGTAGACTAAATACATTGAAAAATTTCAATTTACCTTCTTTGAAATCGTACTATAGGATCTGCCCATACATCATTTAAATCGATAGTTTTTCCTTTTTCTATAACATCTGGATGCTTTCTTACTAATAACCATCCGATGTGAGAGAAAAAGAATCCTCTTTTAGCATTGTGTGGATCGGCATCTGTTTCTGAAAATTTATGATGTACCCTGTGATCTCTCACCCATTCATATATGTCATTCTGCAAAATATATTTTGAAAATTATTTGAATTAAATACCATAAAATTACAATAAAAATTGCTAATATTAATTGTAATTCTTAATATTATCAATTACTGTTAAGTTTCAAGAAGGTATTTAATTAGAAAATTATTATAATAAATAAAATTTTTCGTATTTTTTTATAATTAAAATTTCAATAAATTAAATTTTAGATGAAAATAAATTTATAACCATAAGTTTAAAACCACAAAGAGAAATTTAATATAATGATATACATCACAATTAAAGTTTCGATAACATAATTACCCATCTTGGAGTTATTTAAATAATTTGGAAATAATAAAGCTAATAAATTTATTAACGTTGATAGACATTTTATTAATCAGTTATAATATTAAAATTAAATTAAATACGTTTCTAGCCCATAGTTAACTATATATTAAATGGTTATCCTATAATTAAAAGGGCTTATCACATTAAGACGAGAAGGAATGCAATCACTAAATAGCCAAACTGAAAATATTCAAACACAGCATTGATTAATATATTCGGAATGCATTTCCTGTACTCATACCCTTCATTAGGTCGTTGAAGGTTAGACATATAGTATTAAACACAGTAAATATCTAAAGTATTGTAACAAGCATAGTTACTGACTGAAATTAGTACAAATAATACAGTACATAGTGTGTACAATTATACAATAAATTAATTAAATAAAATACCAAAATTAAAACTAATTAAAATAGTACGATACAATGGTAAAATCAATCGATAGTTGTAGTCCGTCAGGAACTGACAAATTATACTATTATGATCTTTAATTATGTAAAACATAATATTGACGCTATCAATAATAAATTATTTATTAGTTATATTTTTAATTATAGCCGTAACTAATAGACTAACCGTTTAATGTATAAAATTACAAATAAAACAAAATTACGAATGCGCAGTTAATGTTTCACGGTTTTTGTTCTGATCAATGATCAAATAACCGATCAATTTGATCTAATTTTCATGGATTACACTTGATCGGTGATCATAGAAGAAAAAATGGAATCGGATAGTGTTGTCACGCTGTTCATGGATAGTTTAGAATCTGTATATGGAAAATCAGGTTTCGCTTTACGACGAATAACTTATAAAGTGGCTTTCTACCAAACAAATAGATCGTAAAAGAGGAATCGGCTATATATCGAGGATATATTCGTCTAAAAATAAGTTTTACAAACTCAGCTAATCAAATTAGAAGATAAAAATACGTGCAAATTTAGCAATTCTTTAATTACTACAGCAATAAATGGAAAAAATGAATTCTCAGTTAATTAATTAATGACAATTTCTATATTTTCACATCATAATAGCAGAAGAAATAAATAGGATAATTAATTTAAATGACATTTTATCGATACTTTTCAGGGCAGGCACACAAAATGATCTTCGTTTGAGCATAAAAATTAATATGTAACTTATAGGAAAGAATCTTTAACACTTAATTTATGCATAAACCTTAACGAATTCCAAATTAAAAATCAATAATTTAATTATACGAGCGTCTTCCATTTGTTGCCATCATTTTCACTTTAACATTATTTTCACGTGGAATCATGAAAAAATCAGCTAAAATGAATGCACCGACCACGATGCCGATACATATTTCTTGGTCAAATTTTTGATCTACGTTCACTTGAACTTGGTTTCATGAATCTTGGATCAAATGCAACCCGACCCAAATACACAGTACTGTACCTATATGAAGAGTTTATTGTTTGTTGCTAAATTTTCGCAATCTGATTTTAATGGTCAAATTATCATTTTTACTTTCAAAAATATTTCTTTGATATTTTTTACTTTATGATTCAGAGTTTACAAAAAATATTTATCATCAGTAAATTGAAGATTTTTAATTCTTCCTTATGTTGTCTGCAGTATCTTCAAATTCTAGTGTTGAAGAATCTTCTATTTCTAATGTTTAAATGAACGCATCTGGTAAGAGGCTATATCTCTAACTGCAGTTGAAGCTGTCTTTTATTTTTATTTATTATAATCTATTTACAGAAAACACTTACAATAAATTACACTTTGGCCTATTTAGTTAGTTCTCATGTACAGTACTACTGTTATATTCCAGTTATTTTAGGAGTTATCACACAAAGAGAGATGAGACCATTACTTTATTGTAAAACTATCAAGTATAATATACATCATTCAACTCCGACATCTAAAATGCATTTCAGCACTTTTTGCTGTGCCTTTTAAGAAATCTAACTGAAGAGGGCACAGTAAAAAGTGCCGAAATGCATTTTAGATGTCGAAGTTGAATGATGTATATTATACTTGATAGTTTTACAATAAAATAATGGTCTCGTGTCTTTTTGTGTTGTCCTAAAGTAACTGGAATATAACAGTATATGAGACCTAATTAATAGAAAAAGGGGATAAGAAGCTTGTCGGAAGACATATAGTACTTACGCCTATATTTGGAATTTCAAAGTTATGCAACCTCTTACAATAGAATTAAACTCCCTTCAAACGCAACTTTTCTAAAATTCATACCGTTTATATGGATAAATTATATGCTTATTTGAAATCTAAGAAGTTGATATAAAATTTCTGGATATACTGTTTATTAAAATTTTTTCTGTTTACAGACAAGTGATGCTAATCATATTGAGTCGAGGCCTGAATCCAATATATTCTTTATAAAACATATTTTCAATAATAAATTTATCTTTGGCTTTGGTAACGACTGTCTGGAATCTTCAGAAGAATGATTCTTCTGTATTTGTTAATCATTTTTATCAACTACTTTTTTCGTTTTTTTAATTAGCATGACAAATCTGCAACGGACATCTGTACCATCTGATGGGGTTGAGCACTATAACACGTGTGTCCAATCATCGAGGATGAGCTTGCCCTTGCTCTTAGCCAGAGGGGTATTAATTGGCCTTGTGAACTTCATATCCTTCTTAAGGATAGTGACACCTACAAAGCATTCAAAAAATTGATTTATAAGTATCACATACGCTCCGTCATTCATTAAGTTGGTCAAGTCTGTCATCGGGCACTATCTTCATTTCCTCCCTGCACATTATTGTATATATCATTACTCGTTCTGTTGCAATATATATCTGTGTAATTTTTATTATTACTATTAGTATTGTCTATTTTATACTACTGTACATGTTATTCTACTCTCAAGCTATGTATCATATCGATTGATTTGTATCGATCATCTCACCATCTGTCCATACCTTCATCTGTTTTCTCTATTGTCATACTGTTTATACGTTATCTCTCTGTTATTATGTATGTATTTACCTGTGCTTTGATATATCTCTGTATTTAATCCGATTATGCTCTGGCGGTATCGGGTATAAATAAGGATAAAGTAAAAAAAAATTAGCATGACAATATGTTTGTCTAATTTTTATCACTTACTCCTCGTATTATTATTGAAAATTTTAGTATTGATTCTGCTAGTTATTTTTCCCTATTCACAATAATTTTTGCATTTATATTATTAAATTCCTGAGAATTTTAAAAACTTTTCAATAGAATTTAATCTCTTTTTTTTTGGAAATTTTTCCTCATTTGTATTTTCTGTTTGATAGTTGTATCATCTACAATTTGTTAAATATTAGTGTTACTTGTATCTGTTTTATCACTCTGATTTTATTTTCAGCCAGTATTTCTTTTTTATTTTTAAAAATTATCATTCTGAATAAAGGTCTTTTAAGTACAGTTAACATTCGTTTGCATAATTCACTAACGATTTTTTTTAATATATACTGTTAAACGTCATGTGATGACTCTTTTTTCAATTTCTAAATCTTTTTAGTAATTTTCTTAATGTTTTAATCTGTCCTGTTGTTTATATTTTAGCTATTATTTCTTGCTATTTTCTTTGGTACAGTAGGATAAACCTACACCTTCCTCAATTATTTATTTAGTCATTACTTATCATTACATGCTATTGTTTCCTTTACTGATTTTATAACAACATTCTTGCCGATCCTTTCATTGTGGAAATATTTGATCTGGCCTCACATTTAGAGGCCCAAAGATATTTGTTAAAAATTATTCTTTTCATTGTGTGCATGTTTTTTTATTTTGTGTGATTCAAGAGAAAAAAACGTTTATTTTTGTCAAATTTTTTTTATTTATAAAATAACCGCACTTAAAAATTGTATTGTTTGATTGTTATTATATTGGAAACCTCAAAAAGTAAGTGACCTGACCTCTCTTGACCTCTGAGAGGCCCTGTATCTTTCAGTCAATTCCAAAGCTTTTCTGTGATAATAGTTTCCTTTGGTTATTATTAGCGCTATTTTTTAAATCTTTCTTATATAATATATGAGTAATTTCCACTATTTTATCCATGTTTAGTTTTCTTTTTGCCTTTATTTTAATTCTCATAAGAGATAAGAAATTTACAATCTACGAAATGTGTTGCAAATTTTCTAGAAGATATAGCTTAATTTTAATTTATGGTTGATTATTATATAGATTATCGTGTTTTTTATTTGCCAATCAAATGATATTCATGCCCTTTTGCTCTATGATTTATTCCATATTTTGCATTCTAGTTAGTAATTATACTAGAAAATTATTTTCTTTATACTTTTGTAAAAGTAATATTTCGTTTATAGAAAACTAGAATTTGATTTTTTTGTTAAATATAGTATTGATTAAAAAATTTTAATAATTTATATAACTTTTTACTAAGATATTTAATTGAAATACTAATTATAATAAATTCAATTTAATCTTTCTTCGACTGTTAAGACTTTCTTTTACCTTGCGAGCAAAATAGGCCTTTTTCCATGTGAATCATGAGCGTCAAGACCGAATCCATGATGCAAATGTGTCTGCTCATCCTTATGGGTTGGGTGATATTAGATGGGGTCTAGCTTATCACTGTTAAGGAATATCAGCGGAAATTTTTGAAGATTTAGTCTGAATGTGAACTCGATCTACTAGAGCGGCAGACTAATGACTCTCTCTTCAGTCATTGTCAATTTAATTTAATTTGTTACATTAAACTTGATCTCAATTCATGATCTCATAATAAAGTCCAATAATAAACAACATTTTTACTTACCTTCACTCTTAGAAATACCAGTCTGTTTTTCAAAATTTTCAACTTTTCGCCCTGCGAAAACTAAATGCCTTTTTTTCAATGCACATCATGGATACGGCCGAACTCACAATGAGGGAGGTCGAGCTTTCCAAATAAGTCTTCTTCGTTACATATGTTGATTAAATGCTAAAGAAGTTCAGTTGGGGTCACCAGTGGCCAAGCAGTTCCGTTTCCTGAACACTAGGAGTTCGGTTGTGGGTTCGTGCTTCGCCCGGACGGGCTGACCATGTGAAGTTTTCCGGGTTTTCTCCGACGTCTGTAACGCCTGAATATGGGCAGTTACTTTTAAAAGACCTCCCGGAAGATGATGATGGCACTGCAGTCTCATAACCGCAATTTTGGACATGAAACATTTTACAGTTTCATACCATTATCAAATTAATGAATAATTTCCTTTTGATTTGTTTGATATAGCATATGATCAATAATACCTGCTCAGGTATTACTTACAAATAATTTTTTAAACTGACATAGCTTTTTTCTCATCCTTCATCCTTGATGGTGTGTTTGTTTTCAGTGACGTGCCTATAATTTTACAGCCATGGCGTTAATCATCACAATCATAATACTTTTCGCCCGTAAAATATTATTATTTTGAGATTCGTAGCTATTCTTTGAAAATTAATATTCATATATCTTTAAACCTAAGAATATTTCAATTATTTCTATTTCATTACAAACGAATTTCTTATGCCAAATTTCCATTTTTCTATTGCAACTATTTTCAAGAAATCCTAAAAATAAACTAAGACAACAAATTTAGCATTTAGTATTTTTTACTTCCAAGTTTAAGTAATACTTTTTATACGACAGACTACTTTATATTTTATTGCTTTTCACATTGTATTTGAAATATAAAATGGACATTAATTTACTAATTTTCAATATGCATTAATAGCATATTGAAACATTCTAGGTCCGAATTCCACGATGTGAGAGACCCAGAACCGAATCGAATCGATATTATAAATCTGATTGACTTTCATAATGCTAAGTTTAGATCAGTGTCACTCATTTCCTCATTCATGCTATTATAGACACTTTATTATAGGTTATACCACGCCCACAGTGAGCGAAAATTAAGACCAATTTTATAGTGTATAAGGTATTAATGACTTAAAAAAATGAGGAATTAAAAAATAATCACAATCGCATAAGGCTTATAGCCAGTATTTTGATTAATAATTTGGATTAATGGATAAATAATATAAATATACATCCTACGACTACCAACTTAAAAGTGATAAGTGTAATCGGAAAAAATAAACTGTCTAAAATAAATATTACACGGTCATTTAAAATTAATCGTTCCTAGTCAGTAGGTCAGCAATCTATAGAAAAAGGGCCGGGTGTAAATAATTTTTCTGGCCCCAAATTATGTTTAATGATAAAAAAGATTAACATATTTTTCATCAAAAAATAGCAAGTAAAATAAAATAAAAAATAAACAAATTGTATTCCGGGGGACCCGTTATTTTTGTAAAATTTATATTCAATACTACCAATATCGTATAAATTTATTCTAGAAAATAAATATTTCATCATTTAAACTGTTCCTTAAGACGACATCCTCACACAATTCGACCGAATTTGACGATAGTAGGAATCCTCTTCCTCCTATATAAAATAATAGCATTTCATATGAAATTATTTTGTTATATTAATAATAAGGTTATGTGATTTATAAAAAAAAAGTAATCTTTTAATCATGTGAGGAGGAATGGTGTGCTACGTTTCAAAACTCTGACTCAATATCAAAATTTTCTGTTGTTACTGTTGTCTCTTTAATAACATTTTCGAATTCCTCCTTCGAATGTTATTTAAAATATTTTCGACTTTTATTTCAAAATGTACTGTAATTATATTTTACATAAACTTCCTTGCTAAATTAACTCGATTACAAATATTATGCCAAAGTATCGTGCAACATGCAAATAAAACATTATTTATATTTTTAGCCAGTGATTCGGCTTTGTGCCAAGAAAAACCCCAAATGTTTAGGTTTTGATTATTTCCAATAAATTTTAATTACTGTGTTTAAATCACGTACAGTATACGAAATCTAAATTATTTATTAATCAATAAAATAAATGTATTTGCATATATCAATATTTTTAATTCGGTAGTGACGCAAAATCTTAAATATCTTAAAATAAGGAAAGTAGGATATATATACATATAAATATAAATATAAAAAAAAATATAAATGTATATTTGATATATATATATATCTTTTTGCAATATATACATAGGGGGAGACCGGGGCAAGATCGGCATGTTAAGCTTTACTTAAATTTTGTGTAATAAATACTGCTGTAAACTGAAAAAAAAGCTTTGCATATTGTCTATTGGAATATTTTCTTACTATAGAACTGGTTAAAATCAGTTTGGAAATAAAAATAATTAAAATAATTACAACTTTACAAGAAGAGAGAAATTGACGAAGTTGCCCCGGGTATAGGGGCAAGATCGGCAACTTCTCTCTTTTTGTAAAGTTGTAATTATTTTAATTACTTTTATTAAAGTTGGCCCTGGTATAGGGGCAACAGTAATGGGGCAAGATAGGCACGCATATAAAATTATGTTATTAACAATGTATAAGTTGGAATTCACTATTAAAACAAAGAAATACAAATCCAACACCCATTTAATATTATTACAACAAAATGCAAGTTGAAAGACATATATACATGAATAACAAACGTAAACATGCTTTCATTTATCATCTGCTTGATTTTTATCCTTTGCTTCTAATGTGGCTTTATGTTGACGATCTTGCCCCGCTAGTCATGATTTCGAAACATTAAGTACAACCCTGAAAACAGAACTTTCCAAGCCATGATCTGGCCATGTGAATGAGTTGAAGTTACATCCTTCTAACAGGAAAAGTAACTTTCGTTATCATGGAATTATAACAAAACTTGCCAATTCAATATAAATGGAAGCAAAATATTATATGGAATTGAACGAAAATGAAAATTTGCTTGATAATTCAACTACGCTTGTTGGAGAACAATAAAAACACTACATTCAACAAGCCACCAATAAAACTCAACTGCCTAACTTATAACCAAAGTCTTCTTTTAATTTGTTTTTTAAAAAAAGCGCTTGACAAACTTGCCCCGTATGACGAAGTTGCCCCGGTCTCCCCTATATATGTACTGTACAGTACATTGTAGATAGAAGAATTAAAGAACATTACGCAATTATAAAAAATGTAAGTAATATTAATTTGAATACAGGTATGCAACTAGCAGAACGCTGGGATAGTTTCGTAAATATAAATGTTCAGACTGACAAGTGAGTGTTAATGAGTATTATTGTTTGCTGGCAGCTAAACTTGATGTAATGAGGATTTTCTCCTCATTACATTGCTACAGGTTCGAAATTATGTTTTTATGAAAGCTATGTGTAAGTCGCGGTTTTTATTTATTACAACTAAAGATGGCTTTTATAGCCGAAATGCATTTTGTAAACAACAAATGAAATAATAAATATATGTATTGATGAAACAGTTCAATGTGATTCTTAATTTGTCGTTGAAGCCACAACTTATTAGTAAACAGCTTTGGAAGAAGGAACCCTGTGTATACCTATTGGTACTGTACTGTACAGGTACATTACGTTTAAAATTTTTATGGTGTTTTAAAGAGGTTCCCATCAAACAAAATATAGAAATATTGCCTGAATATATACAAAATATTAACATTTATTGATGTCTGGAATATTTATGTATTTTCAAAACAGTTTAAACAACATAAAAATCTAATCCTAATACTGATAACATACAGCAAAAAAAAAAAAAATTAAAAAATACATTATATATAGACTAATTCTTGAATTCTAATAGTATATAGTGTCCACCGTTGCCATTCGCGCGATCGTACCGAAATGCACCTTTGGTCTGTCTTGAGGCTAGAGAATATTTTTCTGTGCTTTCCATCATCTGATCCTCTCGAGATGTGGGCATTGAAATCTCCGTCATCGTTCTTCGTTCGGATTGTGTGAGTATGTCATCTTACGTAAACAAATTAACCGTCTATTGCTTTGTTTACTCCACAGCTCCTCCAGCAGGCACACATGACTGTCATGTGTATCTGTCGAACTTTAATTGTAAATTCGTTGTACTTTTTACAATTAAGTTATATTTTGGAGCGAAGCTACCCCAAGCATTTGCTTGCTTTTCTGGCACCTAGTGCTTTAACTGTAATAACTCGACTGGTACGTCTGACATAGGCGTACCGTCGAGGTAACAGGTAGCAACTGCCTTTCCAAATTCGAAAAAGCAAGAACGAACAAAAAAAATTAGATATGGAAAGTAAAAAGGTTAACGAATTATCGGTTATGGCAAATTGAAAAAAAAATCCAACAACGTTGCGTAACTTATACGACACAAAACTTTAAAATTATATGTGACACCATCTGTTATAATAAGTTTTAAATAAAATATATTATTAATTATTATAAAATGGCAAAGAGCTCAATTTTGAGAGTAGGGGCGAATTTTTAAAAATATTGTAAATATTTAATAGGCCTACATCTAATAACAAGAAAAAATTTTAAGTCCGATCTCACCCAGATATGCCACACGACTCCCATTATCTCCGCACCCCTCGACGTTTAACCACCAAAATTTAATAGCCTCAATCCCCCTAATAAACAAACTTCCCTGCAAAATTTCAGAAATTTTCGACAAAAAGCACAGGAGTTATTAAGCTTCAAACACGGAGAACAAAATTGTGTCCCCAACACACACGCACACATTAACACATAGAAAAAAATATCCTGAATTTTTTCCATTTCTCGACGTTTCGAGGTGTCCTGAGTCCAAAAATCTAAAAATCCGGGGGTCATTTTTTGCCGGATCGCATATTTTCAAAGCTGGATGTTATTTTACTTAGTAAGTTCGAAAACGATACTTAGCATAACATAATGTTTATTGAAAGTAATCCGTAAGCAAAATAATGCTTTATATAACTCGCAGCAGTTTAATATTAATATATAGCAGTATATCCCGTATTGTTTGCGATTTACAACAGCAATTAACTGTTGTAAAAAGTTGGCGTGTGAATAAAAACATGAAAGTATAAGCAACTAATACCGGAATGATGGTGTTAGTAAAAGAATAACTCTTTAAAATCGGCACAAATTACGGTAACAACTGTAAAGGCATGTCAAGCTAATCACGGTCGCAACAGTATGATTTGTTACGTAAAATATTATTACAAATCGAAAACCTATCAAACAGGAAAGGAAAGACGTTTCTGGAACCAGTTACTTAACATAATGTGAATAAAGCGAAGTTTTCCGGCTTAACAGCCGAAAAGCTTAGAATTAATGTTATAACTTGTCAATTCGGAACTTCAGTTACGGTCAATTTTTTAATTGTATTTCTTTATTTCTGGAAAGTATCCTTGACAATACAAAATTGCTGTTTTTTCGTCACTTTATACAAGAGTTGATTAATAAAAACCATCTCTTTACGAAACAAAAATTTTTGAAAAAGGAATATTTTGGCCGCTACCGAGGCGCTTCGTTTTAAACAGTTTTTACTGCATTTAATTTATTTTTCTTTAGTTAATTTATCTAAAAACGAAAGCCGAAATACGTTTCTACCTTAATTTTCAATGAAGATATCTACATAAATATAATATTAAATTGCATGCTTCTAGTCCTTCTGTTAACCATTATTAATTATTTCGTTACAATTATCCTTTTAGGACTATAACATCTT